CCTGGGGGTGAGGGGTCACACTGTGCCCTTGGGGTGAGGGGTCACACTGTGACCTGGGGGTGAGGGGTCACACTGTGACCTGGGGGTGAGGGGTCACACTGTGCCCTTGGGGTGAGGGGTCACACTGTGTCCTGGGGCTGAGGGGTCACACTGTGCCCTGGGGGCAAGGGGTCACACTGGGTCCTGGGGGTGAGGGGTCACATTGGGCCCTAGATGTTAAGAGTTGGGGGCAAGAAAAAGAAGTTGGTCCCAAGAAACGCACAGGCCTTTATTATGTGGTCTGAGAGGGTCACCAAGTGACCTTGAGCTGAGAAAGTAAAAATGGCAAGAGAGCAGTCAAGAGCGGCCTCTTTTTATAGGGAGGACTAGGGCAGATGGTATTTTTCTGGGAATTTGGGGCTGTTAATTAAGATGCCTTTGAGCTTCTGTGATCAGGCCCAGAACCTTAGCAGGACCCATTGTGGGGTCTGGTCTTTGATAATCAGGTTTTTCAAGGAGTGATCAGGCCTGGGGGCAACTGCCACATTCTTGACATTCTCCCTCCATTCCAGACCCTAAAGGAATATAGAGGTTAAGGGTGAAGTTATCTCTAGCTACTTCCTCCTGAACTGGCCGATGCTGGGGAGCTGGTGCTGGTTTCCTGTAAGGTTTGCAGGGGGCGCCTCATCTTCACAAGTTCTTGGGCAGGTGAGGCGCTTTACTAAAAATCTGGTCTTGGACTGCAATAAGCTGAGTCGCAATTCCGTCTAGTGACTCTTGGAGAGTTTTTTGAGAGATGCTGGAATTTCCTAAGGAGATGTCGAGGTCTGCAGTGTTAGTAGTAGCTTTTGTTAGTATTTCAGGCTGGACATTAAAGGGAGGAGTGTTATTGCGGTTTGTGTGGGTTTGAGGTGCCAGGTTTCAGGGATGGGCTTTAGTTACGAGTTGGCTTGGACGGAAGGCAGGAGGGGATATTGTGTTCACAGGCAAAGAAGAGACTCCTCGCTTTCAGGCTTCTTTAGAAGTTGGCTCTGAAGAGAAGCTGATCCTGGTCTGCGTCGACTTCCCATTCGGATGACCTTAAAAAAACGTAGCTAAATATGCTAGAGTTAGGGGCTGAAGAGATGTATTTTTGGTGGAAGGTACTGGTTTTTCTAAGGCCAGTCTCTTTGTTGGAGTGACCCTGGAGGACATTATACTGAGTGAAATATCTCAGTCACAAAAGGACAAATACTGTATAGTGCCACTGTTATGATATGAGACTGACATTGGGTCTGGAGGGAGACTGAGAAAGATGGGGTAAATTATGTACACTGCACTGAAACAGATGAGGGAGAGAACTGTTTAAAAGGGATATATGATTAGGTATTATTGTCATGACAGGAGTCCAGAATGAAGGCTGCATAGTGGAGTAGACGTGGGTGGAGGGATTGTGTAACAATGAAAGAATTTTTTTTTTTTTTTACTTTTCAAAGAGAAGAGTGAACTGGGGGGAAGGCTGGGCAGGGAGAAAAGTGCAACAATGAATTAATGGAAATCCAAAGTCTCTGTAAACGTTCATTAAAATTAACTTTAAACAAAGTTAGATTGCAACAAAACCTTTAAAAAAAGAGAGACAAATAGACCGGGCAGCTTGTAGCAGTGCACGGTGCTGAGCTTGGGTTGTGGGGGGTTATATTCAGTGACGGAGAAATCTGGGTTTCTTCCTGAGCAGAAGGCAGAGAGAGTTTGGGTTGGCTTTGGTGATGCTACGGTGGGTAAGAGTTCAGCAGACGGGGTTGGCTGGGATTATGGAAGCTGTTTTGTTTATTGGTAGTTATGGCGTATGAGTTGGTTAGGAAGAGGGAAGGGATTTGGACAAGAATTTTGCAGGAGGAGTATGACTTTAGGAGAATTTCTCAAGGAGGAAAAGATTGGACAGACATAGGTGGGGTGGGGAGGGGTACTTTGCGACATGTCACCTTTGACAATAGGCCTGATGATGGGGACTTGAGGAGGGGTGGAAGCTTTGTTTTAATTATATTTGAAGAAGTCTTGAGTGTTTAAAGGATAATTTCTGTATAAGGTTGAAGAACAGATATCATATGCTGATAATTTGGATATTTGTTGGGGAACTAATTGCTCTAATATGTTATTGTGTTGTTATGTGCCATCGAGTCACTTGCGACTCATAGTGACCTTATGTACAACATCCCTAAACTCCGCTCTGTCCTGTGCCAATCGCACTGTCTCTGACACTCCCATCCCAATTATCCCAGTCACTGAATCAATCCACCTCATAGAGGGCCTTCCCCTCCTGTGCTGTCCCTCCACCCTCCCAAGCATAATGTCCTTCTCCAAGGACTGGTCTCTCCTCACAACATGTCCAAAGTATGTTAGACAGAGCCTCAGAATCCTTGCCTCCAAGGAGACACCTGGTTTAACCCTTTCCAGGACAAATCTGTTTGTTTTCCTAGCAGACCATGGTATTCTCAATACTCTTCTCCAGCACCACAGCTCAAAGGCATCAATTCCCCTTCTATCCTCCCTGATCATTGTTCAACTCTCTGATGCATAACAAGTGATTGCGAAGATCATAGCCTGTATCAGACGCACCTTAGTCTCCAGAGAGACACCATTGCTCTTCAGTACTTTATACAACAGGATAATCAGCATAGGGTCATTTTATTAGACTGAGTTTGTTAGAACAATTTAGCTAAAATATTTTTCTTAATTATGTTGACTGATTCTGAGCATATCAGGGTTAGTTTACTTAAAGGCAAATAAAAGATGAGAGCCAGAGTGGAGAGTGATAGTAAAGAATAGATTGTTTAATTCTGAGAAGTAGTTAGACTTTAGGGGTCCTGGTTTATTAGCGTGTAGGGTTGGGTAGTCCTGGATGTAGAAGAAGGGCATTTTGATTAATAGGTCTGAAGTTTTGGATTAGTTTGTTTATTGTTTGGCTTTTGAGCTGGTAAAATGGGAGTGTTATAAGGAGATGGTATATTTATATATTGGAATACATATTACTGAAAAATAATGAACTTGTAAAACACCATACAACTCGGGGGACTCAGAGGACATTACGCTGAGAGAAATATTCTAGTTACAAAAGGACAAATGTCAATTATTATCACTGTTATAAAGCAGGTCTGACATGGGAGGTTGGGAGGAGAACAGGACAAGAGTGAATAGAAAATGCCCATTGCATTGGAACAGATAAAGGGAAGAACTGTTTAAAAGGAAGGTATGATTAGGCACTATACATAGAAAAACAGCTCAGAATAACAGGTATATAAAGATGACTGGGGGAAGGAGGGAGGTGTTTTCTGCAATAGTAAGTTGGCAGAGGGAAAGAAGCACTAGAAATCTTAAGACAAAATTACTCGTGCTAGTGTCCAGAAGAAAGTAAATTCAAGGAGTGAGCAAGGCGGGGGCGGGGGAGGGGGCAACTGCTGCATTCTTCCTCCATTGGAGGTGAGGGGTCACACTGGCCCCTGTATAGGAGGGTTCACACTGTGGCCTGGGAGTGAGGGATCACACATGGCCCTGGGGGTGAGGGGTCACACTGGGACCTGCAGGTGGGGTCTCACCCAGGCTGGGGCACTGCTGGCCACCTGACACCCTGTCCCCGCAGGAAACACGGTCCTGCACATCCTCACACTGCAGCCTAACAAGACCTTCGCCTGCCAGATGTACAACCTGCTGCTGTCCTACGACGGGCGCCAGGGGGACCCCTTGCAGCCGCTGGACCTCGTGCCCAACCACCAGGGCCTCACCCCCTTCAAGCTGGCCGGGGTGGAGGGCAACACTGTGGTGAGGATGAGCCCCTCCCCCACACTGGCCCTCCCTCTGTGTCCATGGGTCTCCAGAGCCCCCAGCCCAGGGCGGGACCCTCTCTCCTCTCCCCTCACTCTGGTCCCTGCTGTCTAACCTGCCCCTGCCCCCATCTCTCCCAGGCCTTAGGGCTCCTGTGTGCACCCCACCCCCTGAGGTGTCTGTGAGGCAGGTGCCCACCTGCCCTGTATCCTGCACAGCCCTCAGCCTTTGAGCCCCTCCTGCACCCTGCACAGCCCTCAGCCCCTCCTGCACCCTGCATGGCCCTCAGCCCCTTGTGCACCCTGCATGGCCCTCAACCCCTTGTGCACCCTGCACAGCCCTCAGCCTCTCAGCCCCTCCTGCACCCTGCACAGCCCTCAGCCTCTCCTGCACCCTGCACAGCCCTCAGTCTCTGCTTCTCCTGCACCCTGCACAGCCCTCAGTCTCTCAGCCCCTCCTGCACCCTGCACAGCCCTCAGTCTCTCTGCTCTTCCTGCACCCTGCATGGCCCTCGGCCAAGCTCAGGAGAAGCAGAGATGGGGTCAAGTCATGGTCATGTGTGCCCACGCTGTGGTCATAGAGGAAGCACAGCTGCCCCTCCAGCATCCTTGTCCGCAGAGAACCCCACCTCCCCTTGTGACTGTCCCCCTAGAAGGTGTCCACCCCTTCCTGATTCTCACCTCCCGCCCTAGATGTTCCAGCACCTGATGCAGCGGCGGAAGCACATCCAGTGGACCTACGGGCCGCTGACCTCCACCCTCTACGACCTCACTGAGATCGACTCCTGGGGAGATGAGCTGTCCTTTCTGGAACTCGTGGTTTCCTCCAAGAAGAGAGAGGTAGAGTGTCCAGTGGGTCGGCCTCAGGGCAGGGCACTCTGCTCCAGAACAGGTCCTCTTCCACCTTGAGGAGAGAGGTCCGCATCGACCCTGTGATCTCTCTCTCTCTCTCTCTCTCTCTCCCTCTCCCTCTCTCCCTCTCTCTCTCTCCCTCCAGAGCACCAGCCCTTCCTCCTGTTCTTTCTGTAGTCACTTTTTAAGTGGGCAGCCCTCCAGGTGGGAGCTGCTCCTGTTCACACCTTCCCTCCTTCAGTCATTCAGCATAGAGAACACCTGCTGTGTCCCAGGGAGGAGAGGAACAGAGAGGTAAAGAAAGCACACTTCCTTTCAATCTACTTCCAGCATGCCCAGGTCCTCAAGATTGCAATGGAATCCATCCTACAACTGGGGTGTGTGCTATGCACCAAGGAGCACAACAGAGGGGCATTCATTTCACCCAGAGGCTCAGAGAAGAGGACTTAGATGATATTATTGAGCTGTGTCTTTATGAGGGTCCCTCAGTGGAGTGAATGGTTAATACACTCGGCTCATAAACCAAAGCCTGGAATTTCAAGTCCCTAGAGGCACCTCAGAATGGATGCAGGAGACAAGGGCCAAAACATCCTGCGTCTTGAAGCCAAGGGAGAGAGTTTGTAGGTCTTTTCCTGACTGCATCAGAGAGCAGCTGGGTGGGTGTGCTGTGTTTGCCCTGCCCCATAAGAGGACTAGGAAGAGCAGCAGAGGAGACTAGTGGTGGGCAGGGCGATAGCCCAGGGCAGATGGGATGGCACTTGGAGGCCTGTGGGTAGTGAAAGCAAGAGACACATATGAGAGAGGCCAACAGACGGATGAATCTCGTAAGGAGGAACTTCGAGTTTTCATCTCCAGCAGCACCACCGGGAGGTCCTGCGGAGCCCAGAGGGCAGGAGACCCCGGAGCGTGATGCAGACATGTCGTCAGGTGGGGTGGGAAGCTGAGGGTGCTCTGGTCACATGGCTTGATGTTCACGTTGGGAGTCTAGGACTCCCAGGGGACCCACACGGGAGACCAGGTGTTGTCACATTGACTCCTTCAAAGGAAGACCTCACGTGTGTCAGTCCATAGGGTTCTCAGTTATCATGGTTCCCAAAGCTGACTGCCAGGTCTTTTTCTGACTTCTGTCAACCCCACCTTCTCACTTGGCCTCACCCAGCAGCCTCCTTGTGGAATGATCTTTCCCAGGTCTCCCCCTCACCCAGCCGTCCTTCACTCACTGCTGTTCGTCCTTCTCAGCCTCTCAGTGCCTCGTGCGGGTGTCTGCAATGGTGTATCTAACAGAAGACCCAGCTAGGAGTTCTGCCCAGTTTCTGTGAAGGGAATGGCTAACAGCCCTGCCCCCGGGTTCAGCCATTGCGTTGGCCACCCCAGTCATCTCCCCTTCCGCGCAGGCGCGCCAGATCCTGGACCAGACGCCCGTCAAGGAGCTGGTGAGCCTCAAGTGGAAGCGGTACGGGCGGCCGTACTTCTGCGTGCTGGGCGCCGTCTACCTGCTGTATATCGTCTGCTTCACCATGTGCTGCGTCCACCGCCCCCTCAAAATCCGGGGAGCCAACCGCACACACTCTCGGGACATCACCATCCTCCAGCAGAAACCGCTCAAGGTGAGTGACCCCCGAGGGGAGTGGCGGGGAGGGGAGCACGCAAGATGGTGCTGAAGACCAGAGTGACACTACCCGGAACCGCCCCCGGCCCTGGGCAGCCGCAGAGGAGTCAGGCATGAGAAGAGGGGGCTTAAGGCATAGACAGACATTTACTGAGAGAGGTACGACTTTTCATGGACTTTGAAGGAGTGCTTGGACTTAAGAACCGGAGACATCTGTGAAATGCCTTTCCATTCACAGGGGTTCAAGTGGAACACTGTTGTCAGGGAGGAAATCTGTGCTCTGAGACACCCGAGGTCACTCTGGGCTCTCAGGACAACAGCCAGTGTTCTCATCTGTGTACTGTCAATATGATGCAGCTGTCCCAGCACCTGCCCCCCACACCCTTGAAGGATGCTGGGGCGGGGTAGCAGCTTAAAGTCAGAAATCTTTGTGGCCCCTCTGTAGGTGTGCCGCCCCGAATGTTTTCAGAGGCCCGGGTTGTGGGGGTGCTGGAGGTGTGGAGTAGATTTAGCAGCCGGCCAGTGTGAAGACAGCAAATGCTCTGTGTTGTGTGAAGTGTGAGTAAACTCTAAAGACTCAACACATGTTTAACGTCTGTGTTCAGGAGCTCACAGGTCCCCACACATTTTTGTCCATATAAACTAAAAGAGCTGAAAGGGATTATAGGTGAGTGGGCAGGAGGCAAAGACAGGGAGAAAGGGTTTATGAAGACAAGTTACTTCTGGACACGTGGAGATTTACCTCTACGCAGGATGAGCCAGTCACAGGAAGAGCTTACCCGGATCCTGAAAAAGTTGTTTGATCAGAAAGTGAAAAATCAAATGCCTCGTTGAGAAGCAAACTCTGCACTGATTACAGCAAAGGCACGCAGAGTAAGAACTCAGCTCACTCCTGTTTCTGTAACTGCCTTTCTATGTAGAAGCAGTCCACGTTCAGGGGAAAGTAGCGCTTACTGTCTTGAGATTGGCTGAGTGCAGGGGTCTGGAACCAGCAGGGAGGGTCCATGATCCGCGTATCCGTCTCAAGATGAAGATTAGGCTTGGTGTAGAGACCACAATGAGGAACAAGAACACGAAACAGACGAGAATGGAGGAGAGAACTGTAGAAAAGTAATAAATGATTAAGTATTATTGGCATGATGTAAGTCCATAATAAGAGCTGCATAGTAGAGTGGCCGTGGGCGGGAGAACTGTATAACAATGAGAGAATTTCTTCTCCAAAGAGAAAAGCAAACTTGAGCGGAAGGCCAGGGAGGAAAATGTGCAACAATGAATGACTGGAAATCCACGTTCTCTATAAACTTTCATTAAAATCTCAATTAAAAAAGAAATGGAGGAAGATTGTGGTGGGAAACACAGAGCCCAAGGGGACCCTTTTGGCAGTAGGTGAGGGGACTGGACTAGAGAGTGGGCACGGGAGGAATGTCTTAGTCATCAAATGCGGCTAGAACAGAAACAGCACAGGCTTTAGTGAACAGATTTATTCTTTCACCGTTTAGAAGGCTGAAGTTCAAGGAACAGGCTCTGTGCCTCCTGGTTCAAGTGCCAGCACAGGAACCTGGTTCAAAGCACACACTTGATTCTTAGCTCTTCTTTTTCTGGTGGTACTGAAATCTCTCTCCGGTTCTCTCTCCTTTATCTCTTATAAGACAAGAGGGGATGGATGCCGGCCACCCCACAGGGACATTCATCTGCTCATAGCTCTGACCCAACTCAAGGACTCACATGCTACTACAATCCGCTTACAAATGATTGGGATAAAGATGGCTACAAATGCCTCTCATTCTGCCTCAGTAGCATCATGTTGTGTCAGAACTGACTCCTCACTGACGCTCTAACAGGTTTTCAGAGGCTGTGAATTGCAGGGAGGGGATTGCCCTTTCTCCCGAGAAGCAGCTGGTGGATTCGAACCTCCTAATTCACCTGCCTTTGGGTTAGGCGTGCACTTCTTACCACTAAGCCATCAGCACGTCCTCGTGAGCATCAGAACGGTCAGGAGACACAGCACGTGGGATCGTGACATAATTCTGAGAATCGTGGCCGAATGAGGTGTCAGTTATTTTAGGGAGTATTCCACTCATCCTTGTCAAGAATATCTTGGTTATCAGTGCTTCTACAACAGAAGAACCATAAATGGCTGGCTTTAGCAAACAGAAAGGTTCTTTTCTTGTCATTTGGGAGATTTTCATGAGATGCCGTTAGAGTAGTTGCGGCTCTGGCAATCCTGTGTACAGGGGACATCGGTCGGTCCGGCACCATTCTCCAGATCTCTGCTATGCAGAGGCACCACGTCCATCCAGCGCCTTCAAAACCTTCCTGTATTTCACTGACCTAGTGGGTAGGGAACTGTACTGCCCGCCCAAAGGAGGGAAGTTTAAACCCTCCCTCCGCTCTGGGGGTCACAGATGAGCAGGCTCCTCCCGTGAAATCTGTGGCCTCTCAAAAGCCCCTGGATCAGCTAGTAGTCGATTCTGACTTGATGGCAAAGACTTGAGTTACACTTTCTCAAGCATGATGTCCTTCTCAGGGACTTGTCCCTCCTGGTAACAGGCTAGCACAGGAGAGACAACGCTCTGCTGTTTTCGCGTCTGAGTAGCAGTCAGACTATACTTCTTTCAAGGCAGATCTGTTTACTCTGGTTGACTCCAGCCTGGGTTTTCTCTGTGGAGGAAGACCCTTACCTTGTCGGCTTCTGATTTCTCAGGAATCTCAGTGTTTTTCAGGATCTATCTCGCTCCATCTCTCCTCTGCTCACTTGTTTAGTTTCATTTCTCTTTCATAGGAGATTGGCTCAAGGTTTACTCTACAGTAGTCCTGCCTCATTCATATAAAAAAAGACAATTCATTCCCAAATGAGGATATAACCGCAGTATAGAGATTAAGATTTACAACACAGATTTAAGAGGGACATAATTCCCTCACATTCCACCCTTTGGCCCTCAAACATTGTCATTGCCTGTGCAAACACTTACCCCATCTCATCACCCTAAAAGTCTTCAAGTTCTAAATTGAGATAATCTCTGAATATAGACTCTTACTCTGTATTACATAAATGAGATATGGGTGAGAATTTAGGCATATTCCAAACTGGGGCAAAATTCTTCAATCTGTAAACCTATAAATGTAGAATACAAGGTATCTATCTCCAAAGTGTGTTTCTAGAACAGACACAAGGTCAGCACCAATGGGTGAAACTAGAGGCAAAGAAGCAATAGCATCAAGTGAGAGCAGAGCCCAGCAGAGCAAACCACCCTCCTTCCAGGTGAGAAAATACCCGATCTGCGCTAAGGCCAGCCCGGTAGTGGCCCCATCTTTCAGACTCTGGAAGCTGGCCATGTTTAGAATTTTAAGTGGACTCTTCTGAGGCCTGGGCTTCCAGGATGGCACCTCTGCTCTCTGGGCCCCATTCTCCTTGTCCATCTGAGTGAAAGCCTCATCCTCCTTCCCTGGCAGGACTGTCCTTGGGCTGTTTGGGAATGGCAGCCCCGTCTCCTTTACTGTGGGCAGTGGTCCCGTTCCCCGGTCCACCCTCCCCGTTTACTCCAGAGCTGAGTTGGTGAAGATCTTGCTTTGAGCCCTAGGGACTGTGAGCTAGCCTTTGAAATGGAGAAGGCCTCATGTCATGTTTGGTACTCCCTCAGTTCTACTCTAATATGGTTCTTTTCTTTTTCTTAAAGCTTCTTTGGCCTGTTTATTGTGTGGAAAATTCTAAAATGTAGACAGTGTTCTTCCTCCCTGTTCTTTCTCTGTCCCTTCAGCCCAAATAGATGGGTTTTCTGTTGTGCTAGTTCATGAGGTCTACCAGACACACTTAGCTTTTTTTTTTCCACTTAGTCTTTTTAACTTTTTTTTTTCAGTCTTTTTAACTTTATCGTGACATCCGTGGTGAACAAGATACAATTCCTCAGTGACAGTCCAAGCCAGATTCAGTTCAGCAGTACATATGCAGGGAGCCTCTGATTTCCTCAGTTGTCCAGCAAAATTTATTTCAGAGTTGTTACAAGTCAGCTTTTCCTTCAATCATCCAGAAAAAAAAAAGCCTTTATCTCCATGGTTCCCCAGGTTATGCCTTGCCACAGTCTCTTCACAGTCTGCTCATCACCATTGTCACCCACTCACAGTGTGGAAAGCACTTTCCTATATTGATCTCACAGCTGTTGATGATTTGCAAGACCATGTGTCTACAGTTAAGGTAACAGGAGATCATGCCTTCATAATAGGAGCCAACACAAAGCCTAGAAAAGCCTATTTCTAAGGTTCTGAACCCCTTGAAATATTTGAATATTTATTGAATATTTATTATTTTCATAACATAAAGACCATGAGAGGATGAGTAACCTTAACAACTCAAAATGTTGTTGTTAGGTGCTGTCGAGTTTCATTTCAGGAGGCTAAAAGTTCAAGTTCACGATACTCTGGAGGAAGGCTTGCTCTCTGCTTTGGTTGTGGGGAAGGGTTGTTGTCTCTCAGAATCTGTGGGCAGAGTGTTCCTATGAGATCTTCATGTGTCTTGATATCATTCTTCCTCTGGGTCTAGAAGGTTCTCATAGCAGGGGCCTCAGGTCCAAAAGATGCACTCTGGTCTCACCTCTTTTATTATTATTATTATTCATTTTAATGAAAATTTACAGAGACTTTGGATTTCCGTTCATTCATTGTTGCACATTTCTCCCTGCCCACTGCTCCCCCCTGCCAGTTCACTCTTCTCTTTGAAAAGTAAATGAAAAATTCTTTCATTGTTATAAAATCCCTCACCCCAAGTTCTCTCCACTATGCAGCCTTCGTTCTGGACTCCTGTCATGACAATAATACCTAATCATATATCCCTTTTAAACAGTTCTCTTCCTCATCTATTTCAATGCAGTATACATAATTTATCCCATCTTTCTCAGTCTCCCCCCAATCACGATGTCAGTCCCATTTTATAACAGTGGAACTACGCAGTATTTGTCCTTTTGTGTCTGAGATAGTTTACTCAGCATAATGTCCTCCAGGGTC